TTTACTAGACCGATTGATTAAAAATTTGTTTTGGATATTTTTGAAGTGCTGATTAAATGCGAAAGATTACTAAGTACAACAGGTTTCTATCGCATTCGACTTCGTGGCTCCTTTGTGATTCTTAGGTACAAATTCCAAGTCAAATCGATAATTTAGTTCAGCCGTAGCCAAAGTTGAGTTTACAAGGACATCCAAGACAAACTTTTGACATGTTTCAGCAAAAAACAAATTTGTTATATTACATTTCTTTTTTAATAATACAAAACTTACTAGTAAAAGCAAACTAGTATTTAATTATCCACAGACTACGCAAATCTTCCAATAAAAGTCCGTCAACAATGAAGGTTCGAGTGGACAAAGCTGACACAATTACGATGAAAATTGAGTGTGTCGAAAAAGGCGACAAAGAGAAGTTTTCAATCAGGTTTCGGCGGGAATTTCGCAATTTGGCGCGTAATTAAGCGTCGACCTGCGGCCGCAACAAGCGACTTTTAGTGTTATAAACTTTGCTGGAAATCGGGCGTTTGTAGTTTGCATAAAGTAAACAACCACAGAACATGATAAACAAGTTCAATAAGGATAATTATTAAAAAAGTACAGTAGAAAAGTAAGGTGAATGCATACAGAACCTGATATGAATTATATAGTGTTATGTTTTGCTACTATATTTTTTGGGGTGTGTTTGTACGAATAATGTTAATTACAATCTCATACACAAACACCTTTGGACTTCAATGATAATAAGTCCTGTTGATAAATACACAACGAGAGTGGATAAATTCAAATGTTGTTTAGTTTTCTCTTAATGCTCAGAACAAGTTCTTTCTTATCAGTTTTCTTCTAAACAAACTAATTTCTCAAAATTTAGGGTCCACAAACTTGGAAAAACCCCCAAAGACAATTAATAAAATTATGCATTGTTGACCCAAATACACAAGTTCAACAAAATCGTAAAAAATAAGTTTTTACTTAAGCACTTTTTACAAACCACCTTGGAACTAATAAGTTAATACACAAATCAATTATTTTAAACTTGAATAAGTCTCGACACATCTTGGGAAGGACTACAATAAGTGATTTTTCTATAAAGCAGGGTTCAAGAGTTAGTAAATCGTCAGTCAACAGACAACTCGTGGAAGCTACGCTGACGACAGCTGTGACGTAGTGAATAATTGGCTTTTAAACTGTCCTTTTAAAATTGAACGGATTCGTCGCGCCGCACCCGTGCCGGGGGTGACCGGAAACGCACGTGCTGCGACAGTTGTTTTGTTGAAATTAAAATGCTGTGTGAATTCGACAGTTGTAAATCCTGTAGTGCATGTACCGCGCTTTCGGTTTTAATTGACTATTCATCTAATAAAACGATTAATTTCGTATTGAGTGCATGTTAAAGTGGTCTATTGTTGTCTATACTTCATTTGTCTGTAGCGTATCTCGGATCTAAATGTGCCTTTTGATTTTGATATTTTTGCGTATTCTCAGTTTAAATTTGTAGCCAGTTTTTTAAGGATCGCGTTCTTTACAGAAAAGTATGTTGCTTCTACCAAAAGAAAAAAAAAACTCATAAGTAAATTGCACATTTTAATGGAAAATCGTCGTGAGATTTTTTTTTCTTGTTAGCTGCGCTTTTCTTTCAACAAAGCAATAAATTAGTTAAGGTTAAGACTTATTGTGTTTAATCTTCTGCATATATCAATCGTTAGAATATAAGAGGGGTTTTTCAGTTCATATTTTTGTAAGACTGTGGTTGCTGTATTGAATCTACCCTCTGATACAGTTTACACAAACAATGAAACATTTGAAAAAACAGAAAATTGTTGCAGTTTAAGGGAATTGTAATTTTGGTACAAAGTTTTTTTAATAAACTGTAAAATATTACATGCGCCTTTTCCATTTTCTCGTTTTTATGTAATCTTGTAAATTGATTATAGTTAACCAAATAAAATGCACTCAATAGTTAAATACTCATTTCCTTTCAGTATGAACTGACTTAGGAATCTGAGGTCCTGTAAACACTTAGGCGTGGCATAGACTATTCACTAATTGAGGTGAAAAGCTTTACTTAGCGCGGGAAAATAATACAAATGTATCGTGAAGTAATTGTGCAATCGCATACCCATAACGTAATACAGAAATCTGATAATTTTTCACTTATGTAGTTTTTGTACAGTATTAGAACTCGATTATTCTCCTGAAGGGTTCAAAATTAATATGTTTTCTTGGAAAAATCAAACAATTCAACAATTTTATTTCTTAAAGTTCCTTCGGGATTTGAAGACATCCAAAGTCCCCAGAAAAATGTGTGTTGTTAAACTTGTACAAAATACGATGCGGATGAAACCACAAGCAGACTCGCGTATGAGGTGAGGTGTTGAGACGTAACACATATCTGTGGTCTCGCTCTGTGGTTGGCGACTTGGTGAACGACATTCACAATTGTAATGTAGTACATTTGACTTCATCACCAGTGGTAGTTACTCCTACCTACTCCAAATCTGTATATACAGTATAACCAACGCAAACAATAGTAAATTCAAGAGACCGCGTACTTGTCCCATTGATATCAACTGTAACACTTGAAAGTAAAAAAATAAAACCAAATTAAGACGCTGTAAGTGACTATGGGGTTCATGTTTAAATTGACTTTGTTGAAATATTTGCCAATGCCTCACCTACGCTAATTTCATCCAGTATCCGAATAACAGTGACACTTAAAATCGTAAAATTTTACTCTTCTGTGCTAACTTTTCCTAAAGTTGAAATTTTAAGCTCTTTCGGTGATGCTATGCGAATTAAGAAGGATAACAGTATTTTAAGTTAAATTTGGTTTTATTTAGAGTCTACATAAGAAGTAGGAATTACAGCTAAATGGAATAGCTGTAGACATTATTTTAAAATTGAAATTATAACATTGAATGAGACACTCACGGAGTGTACTGATGCAAAATTCGATTTATTTTGGTTTTAAGGTATTAAAGTACTATATTTGAATTATTTTAGTTAACCATAAGGGTACCTTTGATTTGTCTTGGTTAATCAGCAATTGATATTAATGCAGGTTACTATCCCAGTATACTAGAAACCAAGATTCGTTGCAATTAAGAGTAGTGCATCTTAATTCTACAACTGACAGGTTTAACATGTAAATGTATCGTCGAAAATATCACTCTCAAGTTATTTGCCAATTTTAAAATGTTCTACTTAATAGAGCTGCTTTGTTGAATGATTGGAATGCCACCCAGTGTGAGGTTTGTTTGACACGACAGTTGCTGATCAAAGGCGAAAGTGGGACTCAATTTCGACCAACAAGTGTTCGCGGTGGTCCAACAACCGAGGCGGTGGCGAGGTGTTAGGTTTGGCCGCTAAGTTTAGCCTCGTCATTTGTTGACGTCGTTAGGATTGGAGGATTGTTGAAGTTGTGTGATGGATGCTAGTTGGAGGGGTTTTTGTAATAAATCGACATATAAAAAAATGTATTTGATTCCCACATTTAGTATGTTTTGTAGATATTTACATTATTTTTGTCATGTAACAATCTATTAAAATAAAGCTAATCATATTTTGTTAATAGTTATTGATAATGGTTGTAGTTACACTTATTGTTGTTGTGTCTCTTTTTTAAATTGTCTATTAGTTCTTTATTTGCAGTTTCTTGTACGGTAAACTTTTAAAGTACTGTACCGAAATATATTTTTAAATTTAAGATCAAGACTACAGTAATTTAATCCCTTCAGAAAGATTAATTTTGATAATAATGCGTATTATTTTGTAAAGTTGTAATGTACTATAAAATGGCTCGGCATTTAAAGGAAACCACTTAACAACATTTAGTTAATCAAATTTAACAAACCTATTAAGATTAATTATTTCCACAAACACAATTATAGTATTTTGACCTTGAATTATGTTTTGTTTGTTAGCGTTAGAAAATATTAGCCATATTCTTGTAATATAGCACATTTTTAAGGAAAGTAAGCAAACAAAAATATGTCTAAAAGTTTAATATCCTATTAAAACCTATTTTTACACTTGTACTGTAATCTCACTAGATGGTAAATACATATCAAAGATGATAGTGGTGATTGATTTTGATTAGTCGCTCCAATCATCATCAGTCCCAATAGGTGATGATGATTGGAGTGTCGAATTGAAGCCAATCACCATTTACCATCTTTTATATACATTTACTGTCTTGTGAGTTAACAGTATGGGTGTATATTTTTATCAGACATATTTTTTATTTACTGTCTGTAAATGTAATGATACATACGATGATGTTGATCAAGAAAGTATTTAGAATAATTTTTAACTATCAGCAGTAGGACTGTGTTTCATCCTTTTTAGCATCAGAGTCTATGTTTCTTAATTCAAAAAGAAAATATTTAAACCATACTATAATACGAGTAACATTTGGGCACAATGAATTGAAAAACGGTTTTTATGATTTCCTCTAAATTGTTAGGAATATCTTAGTTTCAGGTTAAAAACTAAATCCATGCTATAGCCACTGTTCTGGGAAAATTAGTTTTTCGTTAAAAACTTTAAATTGAATTTAAATATATTTAACATTGGTCTTATGGATCGGTAGCCATGACAGTTTTACGAAAATGTAAATAAATGAATTAAAACATATACTTGTACACAAACCATCTACAGTACATTGGCCAATTACTGAATAATACAGTACAAAGGAAAAGGACTTTTATGAATGTTATTGAGCATTGATTATACATTTGGGTTGTATGATGTATTACTAACCAAAGAGATAATAGTTTTTATAGTGAATGTGTACCGTAAACTTAACTTAATTGACCTTAGCAAAACCGATAATATTTGTAGGCTTATAGGTTTTATTTTTTTACCTCATGAACAAATTAAACACCTCTAGCACGGTCCATTGGTACTCAATATTAAAGTAATTAATTGAAATAAATAATTTCAATTTATAAACTTATCCCTGGTTAATTATTCCTATAAGATGTTATTATGTTGCAGGGATACACAGCTTGTCATATCGCCATGCAGTACGGCCACGAGGATGTGTTCAACCTTCTAAAGGATGTATATGGTGGGTGATTAACATAACTTCTAAATGAAAATTTACACGCTGTTTTATTTACAGTATATTATTAATATAGATGTCTGCTATTAGGTTAAATGTATAAACAATTTTACACTTTACTTTAAGGCGGTGAATGTATGCACCAGATGGTAAATGGTGATCAATTTTCATTGGTCACTTCCAACGCAAAATATGGATGGCTCAATGAGTGGGTCCCTGTTTGGATTATTTAAGATGTGTTGAATTTTTAATCTTTAAATAAACGTGCAGCAAGGTGGTCTAGTAGTAGAGCGCGGCACTTCACTCGCAGATTCAGGTCCCACCAAATCACCAATAGATTTTATCTTAGTGATAATGTGGCAACCCCTAGGTCTAGCATTAAGTTCTAGGACAAAAAAATACTTATATAAATTACATTTGATATATTCTCGTTCTGCAGGCGCAAACCCAGTGCTGCGGGACTACAGCGGTCGCAAGCCACACCAGTACCTGACCAACAAAGACACGAGTGTGTCCGCGGATACCTTCCGAAGTGAGTATAGCTCTGGCCCGCTTGACGGATGGTTTAAGGAGAACTACGGCACACTGAGCCGAGAGAGAGTCGTTCCCAGGATAGAGATCACTGGGCCGGACACGTTCCCGAAACGGAAAAAGGCCCAGAAGAGACGAGAGAGGAAAACTGCTCTGGGACTGATGTTCAGACCAGTTACCCCTGTGTAGCATGTGGTGGCGCTTAGCATGTGGAATGCACGAGGAACTAGAGATAGCATGTGTCTAGTGCTGTGGTTCTTGAGAGGTTGTTTAAGTAACTTAATTGTGATTTTTATAGTAAAAGGATAGTAGGCGTAGCTAGCTTATTAAGTATAGACAAAAATAAGGTAGGTCATAGAACACAAAAAAAAACACACCATGTTGTGTCCCCAACAATCTACGATTTACAAAGTCACTCAAGGGATAAAATATTGTGTTATGCCTTTTACACTCCTATTTTTTTTATTTTCCACTTGATATTTTATCATATGCAACCTTTCGATGAAATAGTGTGTTATTGTTCATTTTCACAATCATAAAAGAGCAATATTTACCGTATGACGGAAGTTACACCATGTAAGTTATCGCCTCGTTGTTACAATCAGTAATTTAAGATTGATTGAATTTTTTGCTAAAAATGTTAATTGCATTTGTAAATTGAATTGAAGTGTAGTATACAATACCATAGAACGATTACCACAGCTCTAGACAAAATAAAATTGAAATGCATGTTTAAGCATCTAGTTGCATGAAAGCTTTGCATTTTGTTATTTAGATTTTAAGCATAGATTATTAGATGTTGTAATTGACCATAGTATTATTTATATCTTGTACATCTCTTCTATTATTTTTCTGGTTATAACCATAATGTAGTGTTTAGTTTGAGCAATAAATAACCGTTTAAATAGATGCATTTAGTTTTTCTCCGATACCTATTTTCCTTAAATGGCATTCTATTTTTAATATTGATAACTTACAAACAAATTAAAAAAATGTCTTAATGCTACCGCATTATAATATAATTTAATTTAAGAAGAGCATTTAATATATTCTGTATATTCGAATAGACACATTTTTAAATTTAATATTTTACCATTTCAATCTCTTGAATAATCAAAATAGTTTCAATTCTTATTTCAACTAAATTCCTATTAGGTATTTATTTATAAATTTTAAACAGGTTAACTAATGTTTCTCTATTAAAGAGAGCAAAATAAAATTTCTTGATTTTTTAAAGTGTATAAAATATAGGACCTCTTCCAATATCCATACTTCATTTAATACAGTCACACTAGTACTTTTAATACTAATAAATAAATTATGAATTGTTTGCAATAAAAACTATTTTTGCATGTATTGAAATAATTTCCTTCTTGCATGTCTTTCATACTAAACTACTTTGAAAAACAGCAGCTATGTTTGTTTACAAGAACGATAGCCTTTTATAGCCTTTAAAGTTTTAAACCCTGTTGAAATGTTCTTGTAAAGAAACATAATGAACCTTTAGGGAAAATTTTTCTAAACTTGTTATATTAACATTTTGTATTTTGTAGTTTTCCTAAATATAATTGTCAGCTTTTTTGATTTCCACCATTAAGTTTACATTTGTGTGTTTAATTAATAATGATTATCAAGAACAATCTAACCATCTATCTAAAGGTCAATTTCTTTGATCGAACATTCTTATGGTACAGTAATATTTAATGGTATTTTGTTAATTATTGCTATACATAATTAAACCCAGTTTTTCATTTTATAGGAATTTTAGAAGGTGGCTCACTCCGGCAAGTATATTTGGTGTGGTTTGATAGGTTTTCCCTTAACAAGTATTTGGCCTCTGTAAAAAGCGTACGGCCAAACTTGAGTTTGTGCTAACAAAAAACTCATACAGTACAGAGTTTGACTCCTAGACAAAATGTTGTTTTTAAAATGTCTTTACAATGTACATACTTAGAGCATTTAATTAATATTTAATACATAGCTACGCTAGTTACATATGCTGAACTAACCGTGTCAAATACAAAATGGAAATCCAAGGGAAAGTTCCGTCACAGGATGCAGTTTTCCCACAGAACATGATAATTATTTACTGCTTTTTAATGATCCCTCGAGATAGGATCATTCCTGTTTTTGCAACTCGCAAATAGCTTAATTAATTTAATGATTTACTTCACTGTTTATTTATAGCTTAATTTTGCATGCTTTGAGTGTGCTTTGAGGATATGAGAACTTTTACTTGATGGTGTAGGTGTGAGTTAAGAGTGTGGCACAAATCTTTTACCATTGACCATGATGATTTTATCATTTACCATTGATGATGAGTTATAGTTCTTTGCTTCAGTTCCACTAAGTGTGATTATTTCCTATCAAACAAACTTGTTGATTTGAAACTACCTATAAAGCAATCTTTAGTTTGTAGATATCATAACAGACATTGATTAACTTTTTAGTTGTATATAAAATGTCAATTAGGTTTTATTCGCTTTTTTTAGGTCATGTTATTTGCCTAAGAGATGTTAGTGTTTTATAAAAATCCCAACAGTGAAATCAGCTGATTTAGCAAGCAGAAATTAATAGGGTGTAAGAAGAGCTATTTTGAGTACTATCTTTGACTATTTATACAACAACCTATTTAAAGATGTGGCAATGTGATCATTCCTGTGCAGTGGTAGGAAAAAATATCTTCTGTAAAGATTCCAAATGATAAGATTTTCTATGTATCTGTTGTTAATGCACTTTTGAGAATTCTGAGTGCTTTTCTTTTAAAAAATAACTCCTATTGTAATTTGTAAAAAATTTTCCAGCTGTAAACAGGCACACTGTTAAACATGGAGAAGGGCCAGGGTGGTTTGGGGGACAAAATAAACTTAGTAAAAAGTTAAAACTTAGTTACAAGATGGCTAATTTTACAATTTTTTGAACCTAAATTTGACAATTAATTTAATTTCACCTTTTAACTGTACAATCTGAAAAATGTGGTTAATATTGGGTATCATTGGGCGGGTGGAGAGGCCCCGTAGCCTATATTGATGGCCGACCATGCTGGGAAAAGTCATTCCTTTACAACATAGACTAACTAACTAACAAATAAATACACCATAACATTTCAAACAACAATATATTATATCAATATAATCTACATATTATCAATAATTTCAACTAAGCCTGCATGAGTATGTTGCTTGCAAAAGAAAATGCACTTTAGATTACATTATTACTTGATTGATTATATTACTTATAGGATAGTGTTATGCTTTGTACTGGAACATATTACTGGCATTCATAGATGTTGAACTGCAATTGACATCATCAATGGATTGATGTTACAAAAAGATGTCTTAGGTGATATTTTATAGATTAAATTTGAGCAAATTTGATAATATTGACTCTAGAAAACCCTTTAACGAAAAGATCAATAATAATAATTATTTTTTTTAAACATGACATGTTTTTTAATGAATTGTTTGTAATTGGATGGACTACTTAAAATATATTCAAGGTAAGTTAGTATACATCTTTACTCATCAAATAAATATCCTGGAAAAGTCTTGCTAACAATCAGGAATCATATTTGTATTCCTAATCAATGCGGATGACTCATTGATTTACCAGAAAATTGCTACATATTTAATTTTTAAGAGTCAATCTGCTGGGTACCAATTTTCTCTGTATTTGTAATTTTTCTCATCTAAATAACTGTTTTGTGATCAAATAGCAGACAGCCTTGCATAGGGAAAAGTTTTCAAAAAGCTAGGGTATTCTCAAAAATCAGTTACGAAAAATAATTTGTATGGTCTTTAAGGCTGATGTTTAGTTTCATCCTGAACAAGACAATTTATAGTAAGTTTTTTTTTAAAGAATCTTTATAGTTTACGCTAGTAATCAGTGCCGGATTTAGGGTACTTGAGGCCCTAGGCCAAATTACTTGAGCGGCCCTCCCCCTCCCCCTGTGGTGGAAATTCCTTGCAATCGCGGAAATAATCGTGAATATCTCTTATGCATCAAGGGGACATCATCATTGACACCCGTGATCGTGGATGAAATCGTGGACATCTCTCCTAAATCAAGTCAAAGCAATCATAGGTATACGAGAGCGTGGCAAAATCATGAACATCCCCACGGGCTGCAACAAAGGGACATTATCACCGTCACCCGCGACCGCAGTAAAATCGTTAACATCTCCCGTGGCCCGCAATCACAGGGACATCATCATCAACACCCACGGCTGCGGCAAAATCGTTAACATCTCCCGCATGCCGCAATCACGGGGACATCATCATCGACACCCACGGCCGCGGCAAAATCGTGAACATCTCCCGCGGGCCGCAATCACAGGGACATCATCATCGACACCCACGGCCGCGGCAAAATCGTGAACATCTTCTGTGGGCCGCAATCACAGGGACATCATCATCGACACCCACGGCCGCGGCAAAATCGTGAACATCTTCTGTGGGCCGCAATCATGGAAACATTATTATGGTCACCTGTGATCGCGGCAAACTAATGGTTAAAAAAATTATTTGTTTATCTAAAAAAATTGTTGTGCAATCTTCTGCGGCCCCCTCTTGCTTGCGGCCCTAGGCCGCGGCCTAATCGGCCTAGTGGTAAATCCGGCACTGCTAGTAATGTGATTAAAAATCATGAAAATTACTATTTAAGACTTTACATCACACTGTGAAACAAAATACCAAAAGATACTTTTCTAAGTAATATGTTGTTATGTGTACACTTTCTTTGTTTTAATTTTAAAACATCTTTCTGTTACAGAGATCAAAGCAAGGAAAAAGCATGCAGGTTAGTATTCATCAAAAATACCACAATACATTTGTAAATCTTGAAATATATTTATGTTACTGTAACAAAGTACGGTTATGTTTGTGAAAGTCAGTGGCAATGGCTATTTTTCAAAAGCATTTAAATGTCTAAGATAAAATTAATTTTGCATTACTTTTAAAAACACACTGCTTTATGGATTTGTAATTTTTGGAATGAGTTGCGAGCTTTTAATCAAATTTTACGTGTCTAAAGGAAGCAATTTTTGTATCCTAAAGCATATATAACTCAACCTCATCATCAGGTTGATGATGAGGTTGAGTTATATATGCTTTCAGAAAGTAAATAACCATCAACTAATTTTTGAACTGTTAATGCGGGAAAACGTTATTACCTACTAAATTTCAACTCTTTGTCTTGGTACAGAAAAGGACTCTGGATTCTTGAGGATTGGCTCTCTGAATGTAAGAGTGAAGAAGACAACTGAAGCCTTCAGTCACTTCCTGGGCGTAGGAACCATCGACAAGCTGCACAAGAGTTGGGGCTCGGCCGATAACCTCCCTCAGGTAGGCAATGGCCGTACTCGTATTTCAAACTATAGTTCAGATCAAAAAGTAGTTTTGTTTAAAGAAAGGCAAACATAGATTAAGAAGACTATGATCGTAGATTTTAGAATAAGGGAATAGCATCTAGCTTACCTCAGAAAATATGGAACATAATTTCTATTACCTAATACTGTGTAAAAAAATAACTAACATCAAACTAGGATGCACTATCTCTTACTGGTTGATATAACCATGAACGTAATTATTCAAATATGAGGAATTGAGATGTTCTAAAGAATATTTAATTGAATATAAAACTTATTATGTAAACAATAATTTTTACATCATTACATTGCTTTACATAATAATTTTCTACACTTGTTTTTCCTTCATCCCTTACACTAGCACTAAACTTACTGCTTGTTCATTTTCATACCAACAGAAGAGGGGCTAGACTCTTGGATGATGTAAGTAGGGTTTGAAGCATGCTTGTATTTTGCTTGTATAGTTAGTGAAGTGTGCCTTATAAGTCTCATTGTAACTGAGCATGAGTTTGAACAATTATGTAACGTTTTGACAACTTTTCACAATGTTGGTTGAGTGGTTCATTGTAAAATATGAGGGCCATCCCTGTAAGAGACTTTTCACTTAGGCACCGCTTGGGACCGTGCTGTCGTCGTCATCTCAGTATTAGAGCGCTTCTCCACTCAGCACACATCCTTAAAATGAGTGTTAATAAGAGCTGTCATTGCACTGTCCAGGCTCTGAGATCAGATTTTTGTTTGCAAAAAATAACATGCTAATTTAAATTTATTTGGGATTTTTACAGCAAAGGAGTAATGAGTCAAGCTGAGAGAGCAATTATGCATTGAGTTGAAAAATAGATTAAAACTTTTCCACTTTTGTTGTAGTCTTCCAGGATTGTCAGCTCTGCAGAAAGACTCTGTTTTTTGTGATCATGTATTAAGATCTTTTGAACCCGCTGGGCAAAAAACGTGTGGTAACTAAGTTTTTTAGACAACTATTTACCAAACTCTGTTTAATTCGGAGAAAATGTTCTATGAGTTCCAGAATTATTAAAAGGTGATTTTCACAAATGTTTGTTGACTTTCCCTACCAGTTCAACAGCCACTAGATTTTCCTGTCACTGCTGATCGTTAATATTTGTTCGGGTATTTTTTTAGTTTGTTCACCATTATTATGTAGCTTTCACTCATCAATCCCTTGCCGTAAACATCACAAATCTGGTGATAAATTTCAATTTGTTTTATTGTGAACAAAAAACTGATCACAGAGCACAGTTCACAACTGGCGGGATTTGCAATGGCAGTGCTAATTTCGTACAGCAGATATGATGTGCACACTCCTGTAGCTGTATGTGCAATGTGTGTAGATTTTCAAGCACTGAGCAAGCTCTGATGCTAAGATGGTATAGAAACACCACCTCAAGCGGCACGGATTTGAAATGTCTGTTACTTTCTAGAGAGCTCTTGTTGTTGGCTTCATCCGAGTTGTTATTTATAATTTCATAGAGAAGAGGTGACTTCTGAGTGTTTGTTCTGTGTAACTACAAAAATGAAATGAAATATTTAGCTGAAGTTTTACACTGGTAGATCATGAATCGGCTGTAATAATGGATTTACCATTAGGCTGCAAGCAAAAGGGGGCCAACACGACTTTTTGTAACTATCAATTTGCCGCGATCGCATGTGGCGGTAATGATGTCCCTGTGGGAGATGTTCACTATTTCGCCACGATCTTTGATGAATGCTTTCCCTGGATTTAGGGGAGGTGTTTCTGACCAAAACAGTCCAATAAAAAAAATCTGCTACCAGAAGATGTCTATTATCCAGAGAAGCAGTCTGGTATCACAAATCAAATACTGTATAGGGATTTTTTTATCACCTCACAGTATACTACATGTATCCTTATATTGCCTATTCTGTGTGATTTTGACTTATGAGCTGTTTCTATTGTCTGCGTAGTTTTAGCTGTTTTTCTAAACACTATTTTTGATGATATACTTTCTTTGTATAGTAATTTGTAACTACAAATTTCAAAGGGGTTCAGAGCACTAATTTAGGTACAATAGGCCTAAAATGTGCCTTAATTAAAGTTGCTCAATAGGTACCAGAACTTAACCAAAGTTTTTGTGTAAAAACAACTATTAGCTTGTGCTTTAGGCATTTCTTACATTTGAGTCTATTCATGTTGATTAGTATCATTGACTATATATACCTACTGGGTATATGTACTAGTTATATATACTAGGTATATATGCTAGGTATATATAGTCAATGCTAGTATCACTGGCCATCAACAAGGTCAACCGATGTGAAATTGATCCAAGTTGTTGTGCAAAAGAAGACAACCAGGAAAGCTATCACCCAACCCAATCTAAACGCATAATTTGCTATCGCTGAGGGTTAGCATTAATTTAATTTTACAGAAGAACATCCTGTGAAAAAATCTAATTTTTATCCCATGTCTCATCAGAGATATTAAGCTCCAAACTTTGCAATAATTGAAAAATCTCTATTTTAAAAAAATTGCCAAATTTAAAGGACACATATATTAGTGTTATAACTCTAGCTACTTACATACAGTACACTAGTATATGTAATTGTATAAAAAAAATAAACAGTGAGTTACAAATCCTTCATGGGAAAAATAGGCTTCAAAAAGTGAAATTTATTAGTTTGTGTTGCTCGTTTTTAAACATTTTTTTCACCCATAGACCCATATGGGTACAAATTAGGCTGATTGTTATGTATGCTGAAATACTGTTCTTTAATTTAATTTAATCAGATGTTTTCATAAAAACAATGTTTGTTTACTTGTTACTTTTGTTATAAATGTTTGACAATAAAAGATTCTTCATTCATATATTTTATTCTATTTAAATGTAATAACGTTACATAATGGCGCTGCACGGACATGAGGAATATGACAATGACGACACATCATCTACATTAACAGTGGAACAACCTACTACACATAGTTTAACTCATTTCAAGTTCGAGAAGTTTGATGCTACCAAAGAAACATGGAAGTACTACTACCAAAGGTTTGAGTTGGAATTAATTGTTTGTGGGTTACAACACAATCAAGAAGCTAAGAGAATTTTACTTCTGAAATGGATTGGTGCTGAACATTATAGAATTGTGGTTGATAACTTTTATCCAACACCTATTTTAACAGTAGATTACGAGGAAATTGTTGAGTTTATTTCAAATTTCTATAAACCAAAAACATCCTATTTGGCCGAAAGACTCAATGGAAAAATCTTGAAGAACAAAGATCAATCAATACGCATATTTGTAAACAATTTGAGAGCTGGTGCGACGGAATGTGAGTTTAAAGATACACTTGACGAAAGACTGCGAGACCAGTTTTTATTGGGTTTAAATGATCCTAAACTGCAAGAAGAGCTCATCAGAAAACATCCTGAGGAAAAAGCAAGACTTGTCGACATCGTTAAAGACGCCTACCTCATGGAAATGGCACATTCTCAACAACAACAAATAGAAACACTTGGGACATTTTCATGTGACGCACAGGTAAATAAGGTAGGGGCTTAACGAACTACTAAACCTTTATACAAAAGGGACAGTACTAGAATCAGCTTGAATCCTGAGTCACAGTGTTTTAGGTGTGGTTTAGCAAAACATAAAACAGGTGAGCATTGCAAGGCAATGAATATTCAATGTAGAGCTTGTGGGAAAATGGGGCATTTTGAAAGAGTTTGTCTGAAATCCAATAATGTCGTCATTGAGAAAAATCTTTCAAGACGTTATGTCAAACAAATTGATAAGCTTGCTGGTATGAGTGATTATAGTTACAATGTAGACTTTTCCCGACATAATAATGACGGATGTCCTGACATATCTGATGAACTAGAAGCTGGTTCGGTAAAAAACATAAGTCAAATTAATAATGTTGAGAAATTTTGTTACGTTGTTAATTTAACAATAAATAGGGTTCCAATAACGATGGAATATGACACTGCTGCTGCAAGAACTATAATTAGTAAATCTACGTGGAAACAAATTGGTGAACCGGCACTGACTCCTACGGAGGAGCTGGGTGCTTATCCGTCATTTAGAATACCTATGCTCGGCGAGACTAAGGTCGCGGTTTCGTTAGGATCAACTACTTTGCAATTAAGTGTTGCTGTCACTGACAGTGTTTCAGGTACACCTTTGCTTGGTAAAGATTGGATTGCAGCATTTAATCTAGATCCTAACTGTGAACATGTATGTAAGCAAAATTCTTATAGCGTCAATCATATTAACACGGACATTATAGATAAAGAGGGGGAGAAACGTAAGATATATAGAGAGTTCAAAGACATAATTACCAATAACCTAGGAACAGTGAAAAACTTCAAAGCTAAGGTTAGAGTAGCTAATGATGTACAATTGCCAATACACAAACCGAGACCTGTTCCGTTCGCATTACACAGTGCAACTAGCAAGGAACTAGATCGTTTAGTGTCCTCAGGGGTCTTAGAACCTGTGGATCCAGCTACTACTCCGATCCTTTGTGCTTCTCCTTTAGTTGTTGTACCAAAGTCTAATGGTGAGGTACGATTATGTGCAGATTTCAAGGTATCAATCAACCCTCATTTAATCGATGATGAATACTGCATCCCTACGTTTGAAGAAACAGTACTTAAGTTGAATGGTTCAAAATTCTTTTCAGTTATTGATTTGAAGGATGCGTATCTACAGATTCCAGTGGACGAAGAATCAAAAAAATATCTAGTGGTAGCGACACATAAAGGATATTTTACCTTCAATAGATTACCTTTTGGTATTAAGACTGCACCTAAGATTTTTCAAAAGCTGATGGACCAATTATTAGTTGGTACCGATGATTGTGCGTGGTATTTTGACGACATATGTGTGGGCGGTAGAAGTGGACCAGAACACATTGATAGGCTCAAAACAGTTTTAAATATATTGAGAAGAGCAGGACTATGCACGCGTGAAGATAAACTACAGCTTTTCAAACAAAGT